GCAGGAATATCACATTGGTCCATAAGGGAGAAACATGGCCCTGCCAGCTGTCCTTGCTAAGGATGTAGCTGCAGAACACTAGACTAAAGGGTAGTTCGAGAGAGTAAAAGGCCAGCATCCCTTGTCCTGCCAGGTGCCTGGGTGCACAATGGGCCGCTTGGATGACCACGCCAAGAAGCGGATTGTAGAGCTGCGCAAAGCTGGGCTGAGCTTCCGCAAAATCAAAAAGGTTCTGGAGCTGGACAACATCCGGGTGACCCCCCAGGCTGTCTACCTGTTCCTGAAGCGAAAGAATGTGGAGCCTGCCCAGTCCCCAACTGCCTCCCATTCCCAGCCAGCCACAGGCCGGGGGAACAGGACAACGACCATCAATGGATCTGGCTGGGAGGACGAACAGCTCTGGAACTTGCTGCAGGAAAATGAGACTGAACAGAGCAAGCAGCTGGAGCCCCTGGGCAGTAGGCAGTCAAGTCCCAGGTCCCCAGTGCCCCCTGGAGGAACTGTTGTGAGCTCTGAGAGGCTCTCCATCCATGACAACCAGGACAGCAAGGAAGGCATCAAAATTGTCAGTGTGACTTCACTGTGCAAGGACAGTGGGCAGTTTGGGAATGTGTCTGCTGCACCAATGGGCCCCTCTCCAGGGCCACAGCTGACCCCCAGTAACAGTAAGGCCTGGCTTTTTCCTATCTGTTAGATTTTTGTATGGGATCAGGTGGGCTTCCTCACTTCCACATGCATTCTGGAGATGGCTGAGCCCCATGGTGGCTCTGAGAGTCTCCACTCATATCCCAGCTTTCCAGCCCCAGACAAGCAGGCAAAGCTCAAAGGCCCTGTGGTATGTTTGAGGTGGGGAGGTGTGTGGTGGGAGTTTGGGGAGAGTATGATGAAGGGGTCTTGGCTGTCTTTGTAAGGTGTGTATTTTGGAAGTGACTCTCCATTCATGGGTCTCATGTCATAGTCTCTGGCTACTCTTCAATCAATGCAGGTGATGACGGCTCTGTGACTCATCCCTCTCCTTTGAGCAGCCGCTCAGCTCTGCTTCCACCAGCATCCTCCCAGCACCAGTTGAACAACAGGGGGAAAATATTTCTGTCCCCTGCCAGGAACCCAGCCTTAATTGTGAAGAAGAAGATTGTAGATAGAGCCATCCACCTCCAGAAAAAGGTACAAGTCTGGGAAAGGCAAGTAGGCTATTGGGTGGCTACTGTCCTTTCCTCCAACACAGCGAAGAATCTGCGTAGGAAAGATGTAGGATATTAGAATGGCTCTAAAGTGCTGGGGATGCATCCACGTCTCCCCCCAAGTATAAAGTGGCTCTGTGGAAATTGTAGCTCCTGTGTTCAGGAGTAACGAGGACTGTAGGCTGCTATCAGGACCTTCTCCTCATCTGGTCTAATCCATGGAGTTCCAGGAAGGGGAATGTATGGCTTTCTAGCATAAGACCCAGCTAGACAAAGCCTTGGCTAGGATGATCTAGTTAGGGATGGTCCTGCTTTGAGGAGGGGCTTGGACTAGATGACCTCCTGAGGTCCCTTCCAACCCTAATTTTCTATGACTGAATGCAATGCAGTGGACAATCCTGAGAGGGAACTGGTGACTCAGGGAAAGGCATCCTTGAGGTACCTCTTTGCTTTTTTGACCACTTAAGAGCCCTGTGTCCTGTTCCTGTATTTGCTACTAGCTTGGGGAAGTCACTTCCTTTCTGTATGCCTTAACCATTTGCTAGTGGAGGAAGAATGGCGACCTCACAGCAGAGGTAGGAGGCTGGTCATGACAGATGGAAAAGAACTTGGAGGTCTCTTCTGAGGAGGAATTCTAAACCCTCTCCTAACTGAGGGGATTCTCAAGGAACACCTACAGAATAGGCAGATGATGTTCCCCCATTGATCCCCCCCTTACTTTAGACCCTTGTAACTGGGGTCTGTAACCCCAGCCTGCACAGAAAATGTTCACTACTCTGCCAGCCTTGAAAAGATACTAGTTTCTGGAAGTGCCTGGCCTGATGGCCCTGAAGTCTATGCTGCTTGGGCTTCCAGAGAATGAGTTTAACCCCCAAAGAAGACTGCAGAAATGTCTCAGGTGATGGTTTTGGCTCATTGAGGTCTGTGCTTGAGAGCTGAGTGGGACGGGGAGGGGAATAGCAAATGGTGCTGCAGGTCAAGCTTGAGGGACAGTAACAGACATGAGGGGAGGGCGCCTATGGTTGTGGGATGCTGGTCAGAACAGAGTCCCCCTTTATCAGTTGTGTGCACCACACAGCTTCTTCAGCACTAGGCTCATTTGCAATATAAGGACGTATCTTGTCTCACACAGGTATGTCTGATGTTTGTATTTCTCCCACCTTGACTAGGTGAACATTCAGAATGGGCAGAATCCATCTGGCTCTACAAGCGCCCTGCCTTTTGTGGTAGGAGTGCAGCCAGGCAGCCAGCCTCCCAGGATGAACCCAGCTACCATGGCAGCTTCCACGAGCCACCACACACAGGCAAGTGATGTAAGGTTGACAGGTCCCAATACAGAGTACAGTGTCATTGCCCATGGGGTGAGTGAATCTGGAGCTTGCCTTTAAGACCAGGATGGAGCACCACCACAGAACAGGACCTGGCATGGTCAAAGTCTGTCCTTCACTTGTGCTCTTAACAAGTCTGCGAGTGGGCTCTGATCCATTAGGGGCCCAGTAATGGGAGGCATTGATAGCAGGTTAAAACGTAAACCTGAGAGAGGATGGATTTGCCATTCTAGTGGCAGCACCTCTACTCCAGAGTAAAGTAACAGCAAGTCAGAGGCAAAGCTGAATATGACCAAGCCTGATGTTTTGCATACAGGAAAGCCACACACTAGGTCTGCCATTGCTGGAACAGCCTGCTGCAGCCTCCATTCCTTGTCCCAGGTGTCTTGCTTGCTGTAGTGAACTCCGCTGTCTCCTATCAGGGGATGGTTTGGGGAAAGAGGGTCCATGAGCTTGCCCAAATGAAGAACCCTTCTGAGTAGCCTGCCCTGAAGTTTGTATCTAGCCCCCACCATTTCTCTTCAGGCTGCTGACTGCTTTAGCCCCCTATGAGAGCCTAACTAGAGACTTTCCCCATCTGTCCTAGAAGGTTTGGGGTGGAGGGTGGGAATTGTCCTGTACTGGAAAGGCAGGAGTCACCTGGCTAGTGTATCCACACAGATTCCCAAGGCCCTTTCCTTGCTTCCCACGAGATATGTTTCCTACCAGACCAGAATATCCTTGGGCCCTTTGTAGCCAGCAGCTTGGCCTTTCATTTCAGGTTTGGTACTGCATCATGTGGGACTTGGCATAAAGAGCACACAAGATCTAAGGTGTATTGACACCTTTAAACAAAAGTACTTTCCCAAAACAACATATGTAATGTACCATCCTCATTTCACTTCAGGAAAGGAGAGAGGGAGAGAGACCTAGCAGGTGTAAGGCATGCTAAATGCTTGCCAATGGTAATCAAATAGTATATGGGAACAAAGGAGGTCTGTAAATCGGTCCAGACCACAGTGGGGTTCAACAGCTTGCACTAAGGCTGGTGCTAGCAGCTGCTTTCTTTCCTCATGTTCCTACCCAATAACTCAGATACAGTGTCCTGACTCACATAGGTCTCTTCTCTCCAGCTGATTTGCCAAGGAATGGCTGCCCCCTCACTGCCTTTCTGATCTCTTTCCTTCCTCCCTCAGGTCAAAGATGCCGGCACTCAAACTGTCCCGCTCAGTGGTGCCAGTCCCCTGGGCAGTCAGAACTCAGTGTGGGGAGGGCAGATGCTTGCCGTCTCCCAGAACCCTCTTGCCATTGTCGAGAAGCTGGATGCACTACATTCAGAGATCCATAAACTGACTCATACCATGCAGGCTGTGCTAGAGAGGCAGTGCAGCATGGAGCGCCAGCAGGAGCAGCAGCAGCGTTTCCAGCAAGAAGTGCTTATGACGCTTCAGCAGCTCAGCTCCACAGTCAGCCATGGGGCAGTGCCAGGAAACCAGCCCTGTGTTCCTTTCAGCAGCATGGCAGATCCCTCACCCACTGTACCAAACTTCAGCCAGTTCAAGATGGAGATCATCTAATGCAAGGTAAAGGCCAACAGGTCTCAGTGGATCTAGGAAGGAGAGTGGCAGCAGGGACCAACTAGCAGAAGATCCTAAGGGACATGGGCATTCTCACTGCAGACTGCTCCTGACACTCTTCCTGCAAAGGTAGAATGCTGGGCAGCCAGTACTACCTTGAGGCTTCATCTGCTCTGATCTAGTTAACCAGGAGCTGCTACCTGCTGGAAGAGGCACATGCTGATGGGAAGCTGTAACCAGCTTGTTTTAAAAGAAAGCCTTAATTCTACTCCTCTGTGCACCAAGTGAGTGCTGGCTTAGCCAGCAACCTACAGGGTCAGTTGCTGGGGTGTTCCAGCTCCAGTGCAGCAAAAACACAATTAGGCTGTAGGCTGCATGCTCTCCTTTGCTCAGAGGAAACATCTCTTAATGTTTACACTCTTGGGGGAATGAGCACCTGGAAAACCAGCCTGGGAGGACACTTCATGCTTTTTCCTCTTATGAATCTCAGTAAAGTCTATATGTGCTCTGGAACGTCCTGAACACTGTTTCTGGGTAGGTTAATTTGCACCACCATCTCATCTGTAGAGAAGTGCTTATATTGAAGTGCTGTTGAATTTCCGCACCCCCACCCCAGTACTGCTCATGGATGCCAGGGACTCAGCCCCAGCCTTCAGCTATCGCTGCTTACTTTGTTCTGTCATGGCAACTAACTTCTCAGCTTAACACTGTCTGTTGCAATAATTCTGGTCCTCTTTGGATGTGTCTACATATACAATTGCAGTGCCTGAATAAACCGTGGAGCTTATTTCATAGATTTCATAGACATTAGGGCTAGAAGACACCTTGGAAGATCATCAAGTTCAGCCCCCTTCCCCAGGGGTAGGAAGTCAGCAGGGATCATAGGATCCCAGCAAGATAAACATCCAAATTTCTCTTGAAGGTGTTCAGAGTAGGTGCTTGAACCACCTCCGGCGGCAGTCTATTCCAGACCTTGGGGGCTCGGACTGTAAATAAGTTCTTCCTTATGTCCAGCCTGAAATGGTCCTGAAGGAGTTTGTGACCATTTGACCTTGTCATCCCCTGAACAGACGTTCCCCCAGATCCTGGTGAGCACTCCTGATAACTTATAGGCAGCCACCAGATCACCCGTGAGCCTGCGCTTTTCCAGGCTGAAGAGTCCCATAAGCTCTCAGCCTCCCATCATGAGGTCTGTTTTCCTGACCTCAGATCATGCACGTGGCTCTCCTCTGGACTCTCTCAAGCTTCTTTTTATTGCTTTGGAGTTAATTGCTCCTGGGTGCATGTTCAAACTGCATGCGTGGGAGCAATTAACTCCAGAGCAATAAGCTCTGCAGTTTACTCAGGCACAGCATGTGGAGCCCAGGCAGAGCAGCTGCAGCTTGCAGGGGGCCCAAGGAGTCATCAGCTGCTGCCCCGACCCAGTGTGTTGCAGAGAGACTGGCCGGGGCATGAGGGAGCTTCAGTGCGGGGCTAGCTGCCAAGCAGCCTCTGCACTGATGCACCCTTGTGCACCAGCCAGCCAAGCAGTGTCTACACGTGGACTGCTGCAGAGTTTTTTACAAGTACTATCCTGCTATGGAGTAAATTAATTTATTCCAGCCTAACAGAGGTCCATGTGTAGGTGCCAAGATGTTTACTGCTTAGCTAATTAATCAACTGCACAGTAAACATTTTGAGTAGACATGCCCTCTGGATGTTAAATGAGTGCCTGTGGCAGTAATGCATGTATGGACAAAAAAACCCCCCATGCAGTGTTTGTCCAGCAGAGGGCTATAGTAGCATTCATTATTTCCTGCACGTGGGCAATAAGCTGGCCTACTAAACTGTTCTCTAGTGGAGGTATGAGTTCTCCCTTTAAGTGTGCAGGGACAGAGAGAAGACTCCACTGTCTGGAGCAGCTGCTGCTTTTAGAGCCAACCATTTACTGCTAGGGCTGTTTACCCTCCTGAGGCAGAAACACCGAATAGTTTGGGGCATGTAAATATGGTGCCTCTGAACCATATTCAAGCATCTATCACAGGATTGGTGCTGCAGTGGATAGATAGCGTTTTCCCTTCCTGTACAAACATGAGGACCTACATGTACAACCATGAGGATGCAAATTAAGACCTGGACTTGCTGGTAAGTTTATAGCAAGGATAAAACAGTCTCACTGTTAATCTTTCCTTTGCCATCTCTCCACTTACCCCCAGTAGCAAGTTGTTTGGAGATGAGGCAACCTGCGTCCTTCCACCTTACCTCTCTCCAGTGGTGCATACCCAGAGTGAATCCCCTTCCTTCAGCAATTCAGGCTGTTTCCAGACCCCTGCAGTGAAAAGTGCTCTTGGAGCCCTTATAGAGACCATTTCTTAAAATTCTTTTAGTCAGAGGCCAACAGAAGTGTAAAAAAATAAATGTACAAAGCTACATTCCCAGGATCCATGCAACAGTCCTCATAGGAGGGAGGGGATGACTTTGGACAGATGGCTTGCCTACCCACAGAGATGCAAGCTCTGTCGGCCCCTGCCCATGATGACGGATCTTGCTAGAATAGTTCTGCCTCAAAGTTAGAAGTCTGCTGCAATCTGCCTGCGATCATTCATTTCAATGTTGGTGTAATTCTGAGGATACCTAAAAGAAATGAGGGGAAAATGTGAGGTTAACAGCTGCCCTATGAGAAGGAGCAAAGAGCCAGCCCCTCAGACACTAAGCCTGGTTGTTAATCTCATACAGTGGCTGTAAAATTACTGTATAAAATCCAACCTTTATGGCTCTGATGGCTTTTTCAAATCCTTTTTGAATGTGGGTTCAATTTTTTTTTTGGCTGAGATGTAAGGATTTTTTTCCTTTCTCATACTTAAACACTGACTACAGCCCTGTCAAACTGAGAGAAGCTTGTGCAAAAAGAACATCTCTGGTAGTTACTAATATCCCTTAACATTCACTGCTGCTATTAAGCAGATACTTTTAATGCTTCTTTTGTCAATGGTAACATGGTAGTGACAGAGAGATCAGGATTGGCTTAAATACCTAATTTTGTACCTGTCCCTTCTCTCCACCAGTACCATGCAGAAAAGCAAGAGAGAGTAAGAGGTGCCCAGAAAATAGGAAGACAAGATGTCTTCTTACCTTTTGATGTAATAGAAGGCTAAACCAGCAAGCACAAGTATGAGCAGTAGAGCTCCCAGGACAAAGAGGGCAATCTCCCAACCCTCTAAAGAGGCTGCAAAGGACAAAGAAATGGGCACTTAGGTGAATTATACAAAATCTCATTCAGCTTTCCTAATTTCCCTTCAGGACAGTACACTCCTAACATGAAGGCTGTAAGAAGCTTAAACTTTTTCCTTCCTCTTGGATTTATGTCCCTGGAGGAAGTTCATGACTTTGCTGGTGGGGGGTAAGAAGTGGTAGGCAGTCCCAAAGGAGGTAGCCATTCTGAATGCCATATGATTAGCTACATAAGGACCCCCAAAATGCATTCCTGTTACCAGAAGAAGATTATTTTTGCAGAAGGATATACTGTGTTGAGGACACACCACTAATTCTGCTCTTTGGAGTATGTACCTCTGGATGTAACATCTCTGTTCTACTTTGTCAACCCATGGACATGAGGTTCCTGAATGCGAACTAAATGCAATTTATACAAAGCCATTGGTAACTTATTCTGCATTTTGGCCAGTGCATCTAGCCAGGGTCAGAATCATTAGGGTACTGGACCCAGTACCAGCAAGGCACTAAAGCCCAGTCATAGAAGTGTTTAGGAACTCCACACAACTATATTTAAGTAGAAGTTAGACATAAATACCTTTGTGAATCTGAGCCTTAGATGTAATGAGCTACCTCATACCTTTTGACTAAGGAGAAGCTGCTGCTTCATCTTACCCTCCCATGCCCCCCATTTCTCTCAGGCCCCGTTGGCTTCTACCGGACCAGTTCAGAGAGCTGAGGTTCTACTAGTTTAAATTGTCCCCACAGTCTCATTTAGTTTCCAACACAGACATTCTAGCCCCATTATTGCACCCATGGTGCTTGCTTTCCTTTACTCACTGACACTTGATGCCTCTGATGTTGGCTCTTTTGGAGTGGCACACTCTACATTAGTCCTGAGCATACTCCCATCCACTGACAATGGATGTGGGCTGGAAGTGAATTCTTTGCGCCAGCTGCTGATTTTATGTTGTTGCTTCAGTGACCTGGCCCACACCTGGCCTGAGAGCTTCAATATAGAACCTATGCAGGTGAAGTTAAGTTCTGTAAGGAAGAGTGCAGAATGCAGTGTGAATTCTGGTGCAGAGTGAATAGACTGCCTCAGCATGAAAGAGCAAAGTTTCTGGTGTCTTAAAACAAAAGTTTAGGTTATTGCAGTGCAATCTAATTCTAACCAGTTTGCCTCAAACCCAAACCCTAAACGCCAGAGCTAGTCAACACCCTACCTTTCATCTCTAATTCTCTTTAGATTCTGGAGAAAACCTAGGTGTATTGTAACAAGCTTCCCACTCTGAACTCAATTTTGTGTTGTGTCTTTTTGGTACATCATAAAAAGGCCAATCAGATAAAACTTGACAGACTTTGACCTGAACAGAAGGTACAGCTTCCAAGGTCTCATCTTTGGAAAATAAAAAGAAATAGGAGCCACTCCCTTAAAATTAATACCTCTCACATCTGTCAAGAGCTGACTTGACCTATGAGTTTCAGGAGCAGTTAGTAATTCTGCATACCTTGAAAGGACTTAACACCTCCTTAACCATCCACAGAAATCTGAATTAACACTCCAGGTTGGGCCATATCAAAAAATCAAGTGTCAAGTATATGCTGTGGTCAGACTGCAGAAGAGAGACTTATGTTATTTGTCTGAAACTGTGTGAAATATCACTTCTTGGCTAAAGAGCCAGGATTAGGGAGCTTTCACAGAACACAAAGGGTAGCACTAAACTGGGCATGTCTACATGAGATGCTAACTGTACAGTAGCCTAATAATACTGTGCAGCAACATATGGCACAGACAGTGCTAATACATTACTGTGCAGTATTATTAGGCTGTTGCACAGTAGCGTCACTAAAAAGGTCTTTGCTTATGCTGCTATGCAGTAACCACTGTGCATTAAAGACACGCCCACTGACACTGAGCTCCAGTGGGAACTGCCATGTCTCTCTCTGAAATTCTCCCATCAGGGACTGTTCCCTTCCCTATGGTTTGTGCAGCAAAGTTATCTCTGCTTTCTTCCTAAGGCTGTGTTTGACAGGTGCGAATCAGCTGCAGGAAGGAGTAAGATTACACAGCAAGGGCTTTTCTTTCTTTTTAGTCCCACCCTACAACACTGGCTACTCCACTTCTATGAGTTGTGCATGTCAGACCATCCCATTTCCCTTCCTATAGAGATGACCCTGCCTCACTCTCACTCTGCTACTCCCTCACACAGGAATGCTTCCAGATTCCCAGTTGAGGGGCTGACAGCCTGTGAGAGGAGATTTCAGTTTGAGAATAGACCAATGGTTCTCAACCTTTTTAGACTCAAGGCACTCCTTGGAAAATGCTTGTAATTTTCACTTGTTTTTTGACTACAGAAAAATGCTAGAGCAATTCTTTAGTTACAAAGAACTCAAAAAGACCCCAACATATTTTTAACACTATGGATTCCTATTTGAAATGCCTGGGTTTATTTTGTGAATCATGTTTTCACACCTAACAGTGCTAACATTGCATGGTAACCTTGAAAGGATCTCAGGGTGCCATGGCACCATGGTTTAGAATAACTGGAACAGACCATTTGCTTTCCCACAAATGGGTGCTCTTTCACATACTTTCTGACATACTTGGAGAAGAAGGGGCTCCTTCACTGTCATTCTAGTCAAGTTCCAGGACTCTATTGGCAAGGGGTTGCAAGATAGGAGATATTATGAAGTGGATAAATAAAGGTGGGTGGTATTGGCACTGACCTTGTAGATAGAACTGAGAGACTCCACAGGAGCAGTTCTCTTCTATGGATGTCATCAGTACCTTCTCCAGGCTGTCTAGCATCTGCTCAGGGTTTAGAGTCCATGTAGAGCAGTCTGAGGGGGCAGAAAAGGTTATTAGAGTATGTCAGGTTGAAGCAATTAGCCTGCAGCCAAGCACGCAGTCTCACCTGATCTCAGAAGCTAAACACAGCCAAACTTAGTTACTACTTGGGTAGGAAATCATGGTCATAGACAAAATTAGAGGGGTGAAGAGGACAGAGTTGCAGGGGATCCTGAAGAATGATTCTACCTTCCTCATACCAATCTGAGCTTGTCCCCTAGCATTCATGGATCCCCTGGGATGGACACAATTTTCTACAAGCCAGACATAATGAAGATGGTGACAGATCTATGTTCATGTGGCATCACCTGCAACTCCTCCCTGAACTGATAAGGAGCTGCATACTCAGTCCCTCTAATTTATACCAACATCTTTATTTTGGACTGCTGTGGAGGTGTGTGCAAGTTTTACTTGCTCACAAAGCTGAACCCCCATTCCCCTTACCTCCAAACCCAAAACATAACTGGGCCCCTGGAACTTAAGGTCCACTAGCAAACAAACTAATGTCAGGGGAGAAGGAGAGACAGGTCCTAAAATGTCTTTCCTGAATAATGCAGGAGGTTGTGAAAGGGGAAAAGCCATAGTTCCCATTTGCCTGAAAGGCAGATAGTTGTTTGAAGGTAGCCACAGAGGGCTGCAGTCTCTCTCATTCACTAATTAGGCCTCAGCTAAGAGTCTCTAAAGATAATGGATTCTTTTCTGTGGCCTACCATGCACCTTGGACATAGAAACACCCCTTGATTTAGCCCAGCTTTGGATGAATTGAAGTTTTTCTCAACACTGCCTTCCATGGAACTGAAGACATTGTCATATGTTCAGTCTCACACTCAGGGGTTTGGGGCTGTGTAACCCTTCATTCCTGTTAAGTTAGTTAGACCCAGTCTTTCTCAACAGTGCCCCTGTTATGAAAGACATGAGGGAAGATTTCCTATCACTGCTGAAAGGCCAACAGACTTTCCACCAAACTGCAAACGAAACCTCAAGAAGAGGGTTCAGCCACATTTTGATCAGAGAATTAAATACTGTAGTCACCCTTACACACACACCCTGTTGGTAGGACTGTTACTCCCAGCCGATGAGTGCTATGCCTTTTCCTTCCCACCTTATCCCAACACCAGCATTGAGAGGCTGCATTCGCACCCTGCCCTACATCTGGAGCACAGCCTGAGCTACACTCCAGGACACATAATTCCCAGTTCTTCATCTCTTCTGATCTACATGAAAATGGACTCAGCAAAAGCATTTCCTTCAAAATCAGTCCTCGATCTCTCTCCAAATCCCCTCCAACCCCAGGTGGGAAACATCTCTGCTTACTAGGTGTCATCAGGCATATATTGAGATCCTCAGCAAGCGACCTCAGAGGACAGATGTTCTCCAAGCCAGGTGTAGGGTCTGAGACAGCGTATACAAGTGTAGCACTCATATTGCAACAGCGGCTCAAAGAGACTGACCTGTACCCAAAAAAAAGAGTCATGTCTCACTAATACAGCATTTTGTGGACTTCATCACACTTGAAAACTGCGGAGTCCCATCTCTTGCCAACGGATGCTCATCAGAGGTGGGACAGTTGCTGGAGTAGGTGTATTGTGGAAAGCAATTTAAGCAGTTTTCAGAGACAGGCTTAACCAGTTGCGCAGACTCAAAAAGGGAATAGAACTTTTGAAGGTCTGGCAGTAGGAGGGCTCTCTGGATTCTGACATTTGACTGCAACTTCCAGAGAGGTACTTAGGAAGGAAGGTTGTAGCCTCAAAATTACAGACCTTCAAAGTTCCAAAATGAGTCAGGTCCTTAAAAAGAATCTTGACATTGATGATGTTCAACACACAGACTTGCAAGATGCACAGTAGCATTTTTTTTTAAGTCTTTAGAACTTGAGCTTTTTCTCTGCGGCCCTCCAGGCTATGCCTCTACTTTCATTTTAAAATGAAATCAGAGATGCTTGCAAACCAACACAAGTCCATGCTGGGTCTTTCAAGCACACTTCATATATCACAAGTCTTGCAAGAAAACTGCATGAGTTGACAACACTTCACCTTGAATTTATCTCATGATAAAGACAAAGACAGATTCTTTGTATCCAGAAGAAAAGAAGCATGAACTGTTTCTCATTACAAGAGAAAAAGAACCAAGTAACAAAAGTTACAAACAACTATTTCAGAACTTGCAGACTGATGCCCAGCAACTCCAATGCACGTTTCAGGAAGCAGAAAACTTTATCTTTTTTTTTTTTTTTTAACGAAAGATATAAGGAAAGCATGGCATTTCAATGAAACCCACAGGTGTCAGGTCTTTTTCTCTTTCACATAAGATTTACCTATTAGATAGGAAAAAGCCAATGCTGGTAATTATCTACTGCCTTTTTGTCATTCACATCCTTTAAGAAAAGGCCAGAAATAGAAAATGCATTAAAAATTCTTATCCCAGTTGATAGAATCCTGTAGCACAGACAGGATTTAGAAATGTAATACTGTATTAAATAGAAAGAATTCTTAATTGCTATAGAATCCTATTTATCTCTTTCTTGTTAAGCTTTAGGGAGCTCATCCATAAGAGAGATGATATTTAAAAAATTATTTTATTTTTGTGTCTTTAACAATTTACTTTCCATTAGTATTTGCTGTGGAAGACATGCTGTTTGTGTATAGTTGACTCATACAACTCGGTTCTGTGCTGAGCCATCAGTGTAAGATTCTAGTCTCATCATTTCACACTAAGGGAGGTGAGAAATATTTTCTTTTAGTGGTCCCCCATGCTACATTCTCTATTGCATCATCCAGTTTGGATCTATATTTTTCATTACAGGTACTATGACAGCATTAATATTTGCCAGAACCAAATAAAGACCTAATGATTAGACCTGTTCTCTACTAGCAGGAGGCTCCCAGCATAGAAAACCCAGAAATATTTTAAATTGGAGGCTCTTAAGTTTGAAATCAGGAATCACCTCACCTGTCTTTTGGACAAGGCAAAAAATGTGATGGTCCAAAGAGGTCCAGCTGTCCTCTGCCTGTGTTTGACTCCCATGTGTAAACCAAAGCATCCACCAGGTTCGCAAGGGTTGCCACCATGCCCTGAGGACTTCTTGCTTGATAGCGGTTGTACACTGCAACAGCACTGGAGCCCTGCCTAATGGAAAGGGCATCCTTGACAGATGGCAACAACAGATCTGGAGACAGGGGGGAGAAACTGGTGAATACCGAGCTCGTGGCAATGAGGAGCACCCTGCAAATGGTAGCAAAATAACTGGAATAATTCAAGGTGAGGTGTAGCTGCTAAAGAAACTACAGACTGCTGGTACCAGGTTTCCCAGCATCTCTGAGATGTAGCAGGCTCTTACAGAGCATAGGAGGAATTTAAGGCAAATAAATACCAACATTAGTACATATGACAAACACCAACCATAAAATATTTCAGAAGGGGCTAGCAGCACTATAGGACACTGGTTCAGATACTTAAATATAGCTGTATGTTACACTAAAAGTATGGAAGGACTGACAGTCATGCAGACTGGAGGTCTCTGCTTCTCTACAGATCAGGTGTAACATCAAAGGAAGTATCCTTCCAACACCCTCTTGTCAGTGAGCCTTGATGTCAACATGGAAAGGCCTCTTCTCTAGCAGTGAAAAGGGAATTCAGTCTCAGCCCCAGCCCTAATGAAGGCTACTCCTGGGAGCAATTGGATTATATGATTACTGCTGGTCCATTAGGAGCTTATATCTTTGGTGTTTTCAGTCAAGATACAAAAATGCAGGTTGCTCTTGATCTGGGACAGATTAAAGCCAGTGTCTTGGGTAGAAGTGACTTAATATCCCATTACCTCAAGACATTCCCAAAGTCACCCAGTGTTCACCTGTTTGCCCACCTAAACCAGGCTTCCTCAATATACCCAAAGAAAACCCAATGCCAGACTCAGAATCTGTGTGAAGGAATCATCTGCTCTCTTACAGCCTTACCAGGTGTGGGTCCTCCTTCTGGTGCAATTACAAACAGACCCGTGTTTCTGAAAGTGCCCTTCAGTGGGATGCTGGAATAGGCTTTGCCATCTATTCCAGAGAAGAACACCAAACTGTATCCTCCTAAGCTGGCTCCAGGCTTCCCCTTCAGCTCAATGAATTGATAGGGGATGGTGCTGTTGGTCAGGCTCAGCTCGTTGATAAGAATGGGAGGGATACTGGAAGGCAGCACTGAAGAATTGGTGCAGTTGTTCTCCCGGAAGGGTGTAATTATAGTCACCTGATGGGGACAGAGACACCAACCAAACTGTGAGGGTGGGTAGGATAATTTCTATACTCAGATCCCGTGCACAGTTTGATGCCTTTGCCTCCATCTGAGGTCTCTGCTAACTGACAGGTCATCTCATTGGATTTTTGCTGTCCCTCTCACTGTAATACCGCTGTCTCTGCTTCTGTCTTCTGGACCAAGTCTTTGTTCCATAGGATTATTCTCCTTCCCAAGAAGAGATCTATATATCTTCTCCCAGCCAGCATCTAGTATCACCTCCTCCCTACAGCCTTCTTCCTCTGTGCTGAAACTGCTTAGAAAGAAAAATTCTGATGGCTCACCACAAATCTCTCCCCCAGCATCTACAGATAGCCTTGTCCTGGGACCTTGTACTATTCTCAAGATATTCCTTCAACTGCTATGGACTTCCTACCCTTTACTATGGCATATTTGTTGTGTACCCTTTGCCCATTCCCTTCTGTTCATAAGGCTTTTCCAACAGTGGCAGGGAACCAAAAAAACCCTTATAAAACTTTTCCAAACAAATTTTGTGTGGATTCTGTATGTTGCTGAAAGAGGGTTCCACTGGAAAGCAGAAATTTAAAAAAAAGTTACCACCACTCAACCCAGCCAATTCCACTTCAGCACAAGCTTCTAGCTACTTTCAGGGAATTTAATTTAATTTGTACCACATTACTCAACACAGGCTGCATCTACACAAGATGCTGACTGTGCAGTCATTACTGTGCACTCATTTAGTACTTGTATAAACAAATACTAAATGACCACGTGGTAACCTGAGTTACTGCACAGTAGCACTGACAAATGTCTTTTTTTGTGATGCTGACTGCGCAGTAGCCTAATACTACTGCACGGCAGCATCATGTTACAGTTCTTGCCACACGATGCTATTGTGCTATAGTATTGGGCTACTGTGCAGTCAGCATCTTGTATAGATGTGGCCACAGAGGGTGTATATCAAAAGGTCATTGAGTGTCTAATTCCTAAGGAGATGATGACTTACGAGGAAAGGCTGAAAGAACTAGGGGTAGTTAGTCTGGAGAATAGAAGACTGAGGGGGGATTTGATAACAGTCTTCAAATACCTGAAGGAAGGTTATAAAGAGGATGGAGACAGATTTTTTTTGTGGCTGCAAGAGTAATGGCTGCAAGCTGCAGTAGGGGAAATTTAGGTTGGAGATTAGGAAGAAATTTCTGACCATGAGGGTGATGAAGCATTGGAACAGGCTACAAAGAAGTTGTGGAATCTCCATCCTGGAAGTTTTCAAAAGCACGTTAGACAGGCACTTGGCTTGGGTGGTTTAATCAGGGATGATCCTACAATAAGCAGGAGGCTGGACTAAATAACTTCATGTGGCCCCTTCCAACTCTACTTTCATATGATCCTAAGATGCCTTGCAAGTTCAGCACTTGATTCAGAGTAGTGTTTGGGATTTCTCAGGGTCAGGGCATTTGTCATCAAGGCTGCTTGATGTTAACCACGCCCCTCCTTGCAAAAATGCACTTTACTAGAAGCAGTGCATTACTTCAACCCAGCTAAAGCTGATTCAATCAACTATTAGATAAAAGTGCTAAACTCCCTGATCTATACAGATGCTGTAGAGATGGGCCCAGCTGCCTCTTCTGGGCATCTGCTGGGCTTGGCAAGGGAGCGCACCAAATTTCAAGTAAAACGCTGCCTTTTATTTATTTATTTTAACATCTGCAAGCAGCCCAAGTGTTCATTTTGCTGATGGCCATCTAAGGGATAGCTATCTCTCAAAATACCCACCGCCCTGTCTTTGTTTATTAGCAAACTGATTGTGGCTTTTGTGGCATGTTGCCCAGTGAAACCTAGCCTTCTCATCTATTATGCCAATTATCAAAGACAAGGGGGAGTGAGGACAAGAGAGGCAGGGACAGCCAACCCCAGACGGCACTGATGACAGGCTTAAGTTGATGTGAGGCTGAACTGAATGCAACAGAAATCAACACAAGACATCCCTGGCCCTCCCAGATGTCTCCTGCCCCATACCTGGAAGCTGCTGTGGAGCCTGGGGGTCAGGTCATTGCACCGGCTCAAAGACTCATCCTGGCTACTGTGGGAATCATCTTCATACAGGATATTCTGCCCTGGGGCCAGTATTCTGAGCAACTTATCTGCCCTGTCAGATGCCCGGGAAGTGTACACCACTGCATCCACCAGCCCCTCCTCCGTCACTACCATGCTCCCTCTGTAAGAGAGGGTGGTGCTGTAATAGAGGGCTATGGCATCTGCCCCATTCTGGATGGTGTTCGGAGGCAAAATGATCACAGGTTTTGGAGTCACTCCCTCGCTGCCCACCAGGAAGTAGCCTTGTTCGTTGGTATGGTAGCCGGTCAGATTCACCACTTTGTAAGCCTGGTTGTTTTTGCCATTATAAAGGACCAGCCAGTAATCCTTGAGGTTAAAGTGTGTCTGCCCAGTGTAGAACAGCTCAACATACTCTGTATCCTCCCGGCCACCTGGATTATCTGGATTCACTTCATTGATGAGCAGTTTAGGCAGTTGGGAAGGTGGCTCGTGCATCACTGCTGACTTCTCCGATGAAGCACCTTTAAAAGCAAACACCTTATCAACAAAGTTGATTCAAAGGGGTCTTCCTCAATCTAGGCAGGGCAGAGAGCTTTAGGCAAAAATCCCATTAGAAACTTGCACGTGCTGCTCTTTGGTCTAGGTAATCAGTAGAGGTGCACTGGTAGAGATTTTTAGGGCCGATACCGATGGCCAATTTTTAACGAGCCATATTGGTCATACCGATCTTATTGACAATAAGGGGATCTGGCTGTTGTGAGGGAAGGGGCGAGGGGAGAGGGAAGCGGTGTGGGGGGGCAGATCAAGGTCCCTGTGGTGAGGAAGGGAGAGGGGCTGGGGCTGATGCTGCACAGTCAAGGTGGACTGCAGGAGAGAGCCACAAGTGGCTCATCTTGGGGGTGGGGGGCAGCTCCTACCTCTACATGCACCCCGGGAGGGCATGGGGGAGAGTGCCCCCTGATCTGTGCACAAGGCAAGAACAGGCTGCGGTTGTGGCTGCGGGATGCGGCTGGGGACAGTGCTGGGCTCTTCCCCTCAGGGGGCTGGGCCGGGCTGCGCTCGGGGTGGGCAGCGGTGGCACTGGGAGTGGGGCTAAGGTGGGGGAAGGAGGGGTGGTGGCTGCAGCCAAAATTCACCATAGCCCCCACACAGCCCTCCCTCCCAGTGCCGCTGCCGCCCACCTCAAGTGCAGCCCCAGCCCAGCCCCATGCTGGGAAGAGCCTGGAGCTGCCCCCAGCCCTAGACCTTAGCACAAGGGTGGGCAAACTGCAGCCTATGGGCCAGATGTAGCCCACCAGGCCATTCTATCTGGCTCGCAGGGCCCCTAAAAAATTTAGAAAATTATTATTTATCTGCCCCTGGCTCTGTGTCATGCGGCCCTCAATGGCTTGCCAAAACTCAGTAAGCGGCCCTCCACCCAAAATAATTGCCCGCTTCTGTCATAGTGGCAGCCTGTCCTCACCCCATGTGCAGATCCAGGGTGCACACACACCCAATGCCCTCCTGGGGTGCATGCAGTGGCAGGAGCCGCCACCCCCTCCCCAGACAAGCTGCTCATGGCTCCGTCCCATGCCCCGCCCCAGCTGTGCAGCGCCTGTCCCAGTCCCAGCCTCACTCCCTCCCTCACTGCTGGGACTTTGATCTGTCCCTCTAGCCACGGTCGCCTGTACGCTGTGCTGTGGCTGCATATGCACAGGGCATTTATTAGCCACATCAGCCAAAAAAAGCCGATTGCTGATACCGTCAATTTTCCTTATATTGGTGCCAATCTGATATGGCAGAGGTTCCCAAACCCTGGGCCTTGGCCTGGTACCAGGCTGTGAAGGGTTGGCTACCAGTCTGCAGGAGGGTTGACTGCCGGACTGGAAGTCCAGAAGTGGCCGGCATACTGTGGACCGGCAGCCAACCCTTTAATTCTCAGTATAAAAAAGGGTTGGCTGCCGGTCCACAGTATACTGGCCACTTCCAGTCTGCAGTATGCCTGTCCACAGTTTGCCAGTCCACGCAAAGGCAGAGGGAGAAAAAAAATTGGGGGGACTGAGCATGTGCGTACATGTGCACATGCCCCCCCCCTGCTGAAAGTCTGCAGGGGAAGGGGTCGGGGAAGGGAGAGTGAGGCTTGGGCTGGGATTGGGGCCAGAGCACGCTGCACCCATGTGGCCACCCCTTCCCCCATGCCAGGGGTCATTGCCCAGTGCTGGCATCTACCACCCTGCAGCCCTGCATCCACCCTGGCTGTCTCTCTGCACTGGCCCTGGTCCAGCCTTAGTCCCACACCGCCCAGGGATGGCGGGGGCGGCCCAGAGCTTGAGTGGAGACAGCCTCAGCTGCACCACCGGACCAGAGGAGGCAGAGCCCCTGGGAAACTTGCGCCCACTCTGCCCCAGGAAGAGTCTGGTGGCTCCAACAGAGCTGCAGTGATGGAGAACTGATCTTTGCATGGTGCAAGGGCGGGCTACAGTTGCACTCTGCCTGCTCCCCAACTCTGCCCCTTGCTGCAGCCTTTGAAAGCAATGAGGCGCCATGTGAATCCTGCCACTGAGCGGGCTGGGCAGTGAGCCACATGGTGCCACTTTCAAAGGCTGCAGTGAGGCACGGAGACAGGGAGCAGGGAGCCCCGTGCAAAGATCAGGCCTCCCCCCCATTTGGCTATCCCGTACTGCAGCTGTGGAAGAACCACAGGCTCCGATTGTCCCATGGTCCAGTCAGGGCCCCATTCACTGTGAACGGGGCCCCGGCTGGGCTGGGTCATGGGGCAATCAGAGCTCAGTGGCTCATCAAGGGGCACAGCATGGGGGAGCCAGGGGGAAGGGAAATGTGTCCCCCTTCCCCGGCTCCCCCGTGGTGCGCACTGCAGTGGGAGCCACTTGCCCACGCCCCTGGATGAGCCGCTGGGCTCCCAATGCCCAACAACCTGGGCCAGCCGGGGCCCCATTCCCCATGAATGGGGCAATCCCCACAGTGAAGCAGGGAGTGGGGCAGGGGTGAATGATTTGCCCCTGCCCCTACTCCATTCCATCCTGCACCATGGGGGTCTCGATCTGCCTCCTCCAAGCCCAGGCAGTCAAGAGAAATGTACCGTTGTGCTGTGCTGTGCTGTGCTGTGCTGAGCCAGCTGCCATCCCAGTGCACCTCTCCCACCTGTTGCAGCAGCCTGCGGCCGAGCTGCCCTGGTGTTTGTGGGGGGCTGAGTCCCATTAGCTCCCACTTCCATCGCATATGGGTCCACAGTCACTTCCAGTCCACAGCCACTCCCAGTTCGTGGCCACAGCCATGGTCCAAAAGTTTGGGAACCACTGTGATATGGGACTGATGTATCAGTACATCTCTAGTATTTAGTGTTTGTACAGTGTTCTGAAGATGCTGGGCCAAACTCAGAGGGGAGTACTGGCTAGTGTAACACACCTCCTTCTTGCCTCCTCATTGGACACACCTACATATGCATTTGATCTGAGATCAGTTTATTTGTGAGTAAACTACTCATCAGTAAATGCTCCTAGGCAGGCATCAACACATGAAGGGACGTGGGAGCAGATTTGCCTCTCCTAGGAGCAGATTTGCCTCTCCTAGTAGCAAATTGCCCTCACTTCCTGTGGACATGCAGTGAGCCCCTGCTGCCAGCAGGGGGAGCTTGAGGCTCCCCCTGGGTGCTAGCCCAAGGGCTGACATGGAGCACGGGGCCAAAAGACAGCTATCTCCTGACCAGGGCTGGGACATTGTTCCCTGCCCCCCAGGGGCTGCCTGCTGCCAGGGCCAGGACAATGTCCCCCTGCCACAGCAGCAGGGAGATGCCAGCCCTAGCTCTTTGATCTGGGAAGGGGACTTGGAAAAAGCTGCAAGGGAGGAGCAGGTCCCAGCCCCTTACCCCAATCTGCCGGTGGGGCAGCTAGCAGCAAGCCCCTGGCTGGGTGGGGGTTCTCACTACTAGTTGCCACTGGTGAACAGGGTAAGGGGCTCTGACCTGTTCCACCCCTGCAGTTCTTTCCAAGCCCCGTGCCTCGATTGCCCAATCAGGGTGTGGGGCTGGGACCTGTCCCTGGCCAGGACAGTTCCCAAGCTCTGCTCCATGATTGTGGAGTGAGGACTGGAGAGCCTGTTGCCTGCTCAGCTCCATGAATACAGAGCTGGACAGGGAGCAGGCTCCCCAGCAGCAGGGAGCTCCCAGCGCCAGCTCCATGGTTGTGGGGCCAGTGCTGAGAGATCCAGCACTCTGTTCCTCAATCACAATGGCGAAGCAGGGGCTGGGAGATAAGGATTTCCCAGCCCTCGCTCCCTGATCATGATCTCAGAGTGCGGGGCTTGGAGCTCCCTGCTGCCAGGGCAGGGGGACATAGTCCCTACCAGGGTTCAGTGGTGGAGCCCACCCTGGCAACAGGCAGCTCCCAGGGGCAGGGAGCAACCTCCCGTCCCCTAGTGGCCAGCTGGCAAGGAGCAGATTTGCTCCCAGTCAGGCATCTACATGAACACTCATGAATAAATTTGTTACTTGCATTTGCAGGTAGAAAATTTATACTCATGACTAGTGAGGTTTACTGCGCAGTAAGCACGTGCACATGTAGATGCACATGCTTACTGCACAGTAAACTGTGCTAATTCACAGTAAAGCATCTTGTGTAGATGCATCCACTGTGTACTGTTTCAGGTATGGTAGCACTTAGGTCAGCCCCATTGCAACAGATACTGTACAGACAAGTTAGTAAGTTTGTTCCTGTAGTGCAGCAGCTTAGCTTCCCAAATACCGATGTGTGACATGACTGCCACTTGTAAGTAAAGGTGATCTCCCTTCCCACTTCCACCAACATGAGATAGGGCAGCTTAAGCACAAAGTAATTAGTGGAGAGTAATGAAAGATTTGGAGGATTTATATTTTTTGGCTGCTCAGGACAAGTTACATTAGGTTATTGGACTTGGGCTTGACAGGTAAAGAACCAGGGGCTTGGATATACATCACAGTATACACTACAAAAGTGATGTGAATTACAGTGGGATCCAGAGAGAACAGACCTGCAGCTACCTGCAGGTAGCTTTGAACATGGGTGGAACTAGGATTTTAAAAAGGGGGTACAAATGGTGTGGCACATCATATATAACACAACCTTTTTTCCACCTAACGTGAAGCTGTATGCTTTACTAATAAGTTTGGGCGATAGCCCTATATTACTGAGTTTAAGATCAAGTAAAAAACAAATATAACTGTTAGAATGTACACTGATTTGCTATAATTTACAAGCATAAGTTTAAAAATGCAACTAGGCAAAATATAGTCAAAAGATAGTGTGTCATTAGCCCATAGTCATTATAGTTAAATGTTCAGCTCTTATTCAGATTCATAAAACAAAATCTACTCTTCCTGAGAATCTTGACAGTGCCTCCAGTGCTTCACAGTCAGTCATTTCTGCACCTATGGTAACAGTACCACATCTGAGTTTAAGCTAGAGCTAACAACAGTCTGCAGGGCTGTGAAATAGGAGTGACACACACATTATCATGAATGGCTAACTGACTGCAAAAGTGCAGAAGA